GGAGAGTGTTTGGAACTGATTTTGCTTCTGCTTCCTTTTTAATGTAGAGTCAGAATCAGTTTTTAGAAGCTAATCTCCCCCAGCTTCTAAAAAAACCGATTCTAGGAGTAAATTGGAGCACCCGAATCACTTCTACACTTTCAGCCAAACACTCCAACTTCTGCATCTGCTGCTTGAAGAAGCAGAAGCAGTTTTAAGAATTGGATCCAAACACCCTTTAGATGAGTGGGGTGGTAGCCGAAGTGTAGAAGAGAAATCAGCTGGCTGGATATCTTCGTGTAGTATAATTTCCTTCTATCCACTTGGCTCCTCACGTTTTACCACACTTGGTAATCCCACACTCCTTCTGTATTTATAGACTTGATCATTGCATCTCCACCGTTGGCTGAGGAAATGAATCTTGACCGTAGCTTGATCTACTTGCTTTGTTCCACTTGACTGAGGCATCATGGTTATCTCTTGTCACGTAGTGACACGGATCATCTATCTTCAGCTCAACTTGTTTACACACTTCAATGCAAGATAAAAGATATTTTATCTTCATTTTCTTACACGTAAAAACTAGTATAAAGCTGAGTGATATTTCAATGCTACCTTACAAAGAACGAACACTTGCTTTTGTAAAATAAATTTCTAAGAAATTTATAATGTGATTAAAATATCTTATAAATTTACTTTTTATCAAATTGTTCTTTTGTCTGCAAGTTGATCTTTTGTCTAAGTGTTTTGTGCTAAAAGAAGAGAGAATTGGATTTCGGATGCCTCAACTGGATTTCCATATTTCAGCTGGCTGCCAGACTTGGGAGCTGACTGCCGAAATCTAGGTTTTCCAGTAGACTTCCTAACAATGTGTACCAGTTAACTCTTTTCATACCTTTTTCTTTTTGATCTTTTTCGCGTTTAACTTCTCTTTTTAGTACTCTTTGCTTTTTATGAGTACTTTACCACTAAATATGGAACACATTTTAAATAAAAAAAGTAGAACATAAGTAGTAGACTAGTCTAATAATGGGATAATAAAAAGGGGTGACATCATCAAAACTATTACATTATCATCCAAATCTAGGGGACATAACATATACTCCGTACTATATAATCCTTTGATTGAATTAGGGAAAATTCCCGAAATAGGAGTAAATTAGTTTAAAAATCCCAAAATATGATTGTCATGTTTTTATTCCCAAAATATGACTAATTACTGCCAAGTTGGGAAAATACTGCCAGTCTGCCATGCTTAAAGTCTGGTATTGCCAAAACATGGCAGTAATTTAATTAGTTCTATTTTGAGAATAAAAACATGGCATTCCTATTTTGGAATTTTCAAACGTTTTTAGTTCTATTTATGGTAATTTCTTATTGAATTATTGTCATTAGTTCTCCAACTAAAAAATCTGACTTTTCCAATTAACTTTTAAATCAACTCTATCACATCACTTGACATTATAGTAGTGGTTATTTATTTTATTTTTTTATAGCAAAAAACACGAGTCCCAAAATTTAAATTTAAATGCATTTTTATAATTTAGAGTACAAAATGTAGGATAAAGACCAATCGAATAAGAACTCAACAGGAAACATAGTCTAATATCATTCCTTGAAAACTTTAAAAAGTTAACAGGAAACTACACTTCACAGTCCAGTGAATGCTTTCTTTCCACCACTAGCAGAACCAGCGGGAATCACCTTCAAAACATTGAACCTAACGGTCTTGGATAATGGTCTGCATTGACCAATGGTAACATAGTCACCCTCTTTCACACGGAAGCATGGTGACACGTGAGCAGCAATGTTTGAGTGTCTTTTTTCATACCTCTGATACTTCTTCACAAAGTGGAGGTAGTCACGAACTCACGACGAACAATGATTGTTCTGTTCATCTTAGCACTATGGCAAGTACCGGCAAGGATACGACCTCTAATAGAAACATTTCCTGTAAAGGGGCATTTCTTGTCAATGTATGTACCTTCAATAGCCCCGCGAGGAGTTTTAAAGCCCAAGCTGATGCTCTTCCAATAACGGTTGCCTCCCTTTCCGGGCCTCTTGCCCTTACCTGTTTTCTTTGAGCTGAGAAAAACCCCTGGCTGCTTCAAGAAAGCCTTCTCAATCTGCTCAGCCATCCTTGCAGATGAAAATGTGGAGGCAGAAGATACAAAAAAGGAAGCAGTGATTCAGCAGCCCCAGTAGTGGTTATTTAGTTTATAACCATTGTTTAATTTTCATGAGACATTTGATCTGAGGGGTTTAAACCTTAAATAAGACTAACATTAATTTTCCTTTTCTAATATTTTATTCTCTCTTCGTCTCTTAAAATTCTTCCCACTTATCTTTTTTGGACGTTCCAAAAAATTCTTCCAATTTTCCTTTTTGAAGAGTTTTGTGTGGCTACCATTCATTTACCATTTTCTTACTCAACCACAACCATACATTTTTATTTTATTCTCACTTTCTAAAACTCCGATTGAATTCAAAGCAGAAAGAACTTTGTGGGATGGAAGGAGTAATAAGAACTTAAGAAGTGGTAGAATAATCCTTTGATACAATTAGAATATTAAATTCTATATAATTAAAGAATGTGGTAGAATATTAAATACTATACAATTAGAATAGAATACTTTTAACAAATTTATTTTTGATGTGAATGAATTACTTTTGGCTTTTTGAGTTTTATGTCAATTTCAGATTTAGTCTTTTCATCCACTTTCAATACTTGACTAATATTTTTTGCAATTTGTGATCTTTCCGTCCAAATTTCTCATACTTCTTTCGCGATTTTAACCATCGAAAATATTGACAGGAGGACCACATGTGAGCGAAAATAATAATAATAATAATAATGTAGCAAAAATGGTCAATCAAACGGATTAGTTGTAAAATAAGTGTGATACTTGTAGGACAATATAGAATTTTCATGCTCCAAATCTATTTACCAGAACTTATGACTAAAACTTAACGTGTTTTCTAGATTTATTAGGACAATATTTTATAAACGATTTTCTTCAAATTAAAAATTATGAGCTTAGGATACTAAGGATTTTTTACTTGGGTTGAAACTTTCTTGTCTACTCTAGTCTAAACTGGTCTAGTTTGATCTGTCTACATCTGATCTGTTTTGATTTGGTACTGAAATAAATACAAGATTCTTGACTCGTTATTTAAAACTTAAAATGATATAGCCCATATCGAACACTTATTTATGAGTTCAAAACTTTTCATAATATTGGTGATGAAGAATACGCTAACGATTATTATTGAAACTTATCAAAATGAAGAATACGCTAATGGTGTAATACCTAGCTGCCTATGATTTATCTATTGAAAGTGAATGGAACTGGAAATGCGGTGATGAATAATATTTGCAGGTTCTTGTATGGTACACGTTAAAATTTATATTAGTGGTTTTGGTAACTTCTCTTTTTCTAAAAAAAAAAATCACGATGTGACAAATTGACACATCACGATATTCCTATTATATACTTCCTCCGTTCTTAAATAAATGTAATAGTCAACATTTCACACTTGCCGGGACACAATTTTGACTATTAATATATATAATTTTGTATTAGTAAAACAATTAAAAAAAATAGATTTTGAAAATATAAAATGAGACAAATTTAACAATATTTTTTTCAGAAAATAATATTAATACATTAATAAATAAAATGTAGTCAAAGTAGAACATATGAATAGTGTAAAATTTCATATGTTGTATTTATTTAAAAACGGAGGTAATAATTTAGAATTTAACGCTCAAATTAATAAAAGCTAGACGGCATGATAAACACGCGCAGAAACGTGCGGTAAGATCTGCCATAGCGACAAAGAAATATTAGGAGCGTTAGTTATATCAGAAGCAATTTTCGAGTGACTAATATCATAAGCAATTTTCCTTAGTCCGTACCTCATTTTTACGCAAGTGAAGCCTAGGATTGTCTTTTGAAATTAATATCCTCAAGTGAAGCCTAGAATCCGCAAGTGAAAGAATGAATGTACGCAAAATCTAAAAATTAAGAATTTTAATGATTGTATTCAATTGCAATTTAAGGAGAAATCAATTTTGAGATGATTCTAGCTACTTTATTAGTACTAAAGTAGATATCCAGGAGAAAACCCCTTTAGTTATTGTCAAGCATTTTTGAATATATTGTCAATTACATAGTATAAACATTGAATCGGCCCACTATATGATTTATGGATGAAATTAATATACTTCGATTATAAGCATAAAGAAGGGTCAGGTAGGTCCTCGAATTTACATAAAAAAGTCAAATAAGTTCTTATATAAGAGGCTCTGTCCGGCTGGAAGTTTTTGGGGTGGTTCCCGGTGGAAGTTTTTGATGAAATTATTTGAGCATCTTATTCATTAAGTCTAGTTTACTCATACCAAATTTCAGTTAAAAGCGCAATTATGTTCAAGAATTCATATGAATGCCTTACCAATTGAATTGTTAGCTTAAATTTGGTATGAGTAAACTAGACTTAATGAATAACATGCTCAAAAAATTTCATCAAAAAATTCCACCGGGAACTGTCCCAAATGGCGACGGCCGGACAGAACCTCCTTATTTGACCTTTTTATGTAAGTTCAAGAGCTTATTGGACCTTTTTATGTAAGTTCAAGAGCTTATTTGACCCTTTTCCCTAAGCATAATAATACAATTATGCTATTCCATAATAATACAATTATAACACTCCATAAAAATAAAAACATTCAGATAGTTACTCTATCGGCAGTATAAGATTAAATAAGATACTCCATAAAAAGATTATAAGATAGATTCGTACTAGCAATATTACATTAATTTGGAAATCATCGTGAGTAGGAGTAAATTTTTTTTTTGAAATTCTCAAATAGGTTCTTCATGTTTTTATTCCCTAAATAAGATTCATTTCTGTCAAGTTTGAAAAAAAATTGACTAAAAGTACCATGTTTACAGTCAAATAAGTCAAACTCGATAGAAATTGCTCATATTTAGAAAATACAAACATGATATTCATATTTTGGAATTTCAAAATATTTTTACTCTGTGTTTTTACTTCTAATTAGTGGTCATACAAAAAAACTGGGCTCGGTCGGTTCGGCAGGCCACCAAGCTTGTATTACAGAATTTGAAGCTAGCTAACTAGGAATAAGGATGTTTTTACTTAGACTAATTTCAATCTTAAAAGACCAGACAAGATCCAGAGTACCAAGCTAGAAAATTTGAGTGCCAAGTAAAAACATCCTAATCCTAATATATACGATAGTATATGCAGGGCGGGATATCAATTGCTAGGAAAGACAGAATCACAAGGGTTGCCGAGGAGGTTGTTACAGGAAGCTCGAGGTTTGCCTCCGTTGTAAGTGAGTTCCACGTCGGAGACGGTTATGTCGGAACACTTGCTGAGGGCGCTGCAATTCAAGTTGACGGCAAACTCCGACTTTGACGACCCCCGTATGTCGACAAACTTGACGTTGCCGATCTTAACGCCGGAGTCCCCTTGGGGGCAGTTTTGATGGTCAGGGCAGTAGTATTGGTCAATGAGAACGGGGTTCGTAACATCGGTCATGGTCAGGTGCTGGAACACGACCTGGTTCACAACCGCGTCCGCCTCAGGTCTGGCAACCGCCTTGATCCTCGCTCCGTTCTGCGTTTCGGTGAACTGAACATATTCTACCAGTATGTTTTCCACTCGCCCCTCGTTGTCCTCTCGCCCTAGACTCCCTATGCTGCACCATATTATCCGCGTATTATTTCCAAAACCATCATATCCACCAACATATATAACACCAATTTAATTCCATTCCCAATGCGTTTATGTGTTAATTGATTTGTAATTTGAGTTTTTATTTACTCAAAGAAATAATTGATTTGTATGGCATGATTAACTTATAGGGAAAAATAATTAAAATACACCCCAAATTTTGAAGGTATGTGAGGTAACACCCCAAACTTGCACATGTAATTTAAATACTCCAAACTTTATATAACAAGTTATTTTTGCACCATCATATCATCATGTATCATTTCTTTCAAAAATGTAAATTTATGAGGTTAATTGCACAATTTAAAATAGCAAATTAAAAGTGTTGCAATTATATAGATTAGGGTAACATTATTTATTTCACAATGGAAGTTTAAAATGTTGATTGTGTCTTCATGAATTCTAAAATATTTTGAATTATGCACTTAACACCATAAATTTACATTTTTGAAAAAATAATACTTGACTATGGTGCTAAAATAACTTTTTATACAAAGTTTGGAGTATTTAAATTATTTGACTGCCTTCCCGGTCGAATTTATATATGCACATTCTGCGCATATATAAAGTGCAGTAAGTTTCAAGAATTTATTTGACTGCCTTCCCGGTCGAATTTTGAACTGAAATTTGGTATGGATAAACTGCACTTGATGAGGAACATGCTCAAAAAATTTAATAAAAAAATTCCATCGGGAACCGCCCCAAACGGGCAAGTCCGAACAGCGGTTCTGGTCAGGCGCGCCTGACCAGATAAGTACTCTACTCTTAAAGTCATTTGAGTGTAAAAATTGAACGTAAATCACGATGACTCAGATACTATTATAGTCACCGCACTTACTCATATATACTGAAGTATGTAATTATTAAATCATTTAAATTTTACATACTCCCAACGTCCTAAAAAGGTTCGCCAAATTGACTTTCTTAGTCAATGACAATCAACTTTGACCAATGATTTTTTTAATACAAAATTATTTAGAATGTGGAAATTATATCAAGGTGTTGCTTGTTTTCAAAATATTTTCATAAAAGTATAAAGTTTATAAATTATATACAAATATAATAATTAAAATCAGTATCCAAAGTTTATCATCATTAATCAAATAAAATTAATATGACGAACCTTTTCGGGACAGGTCCACTACTTAAAAGTGGTTTTGATTTCTTAAATACGACTAAATTGAAGCTCTTTACAAGAGTATTGCAAATAATATTGTTTGATTTCTTTTAGAAGTCAACATAGAGTATACTTTTATTAGGGAAAGGTCGGTCAACCATTGCAAAGTAAGGGGACATTATTTTTGGGATGAGAAATAACCTGACTCCATGGCCCGGTCCGCAAGTCAAGTTCCTAATTGTCACGCCGTTGGTGCGGGGACCAATAGAGACGCAATCGTCCCCGGTTCCGACATTGGAATGAGTGATGTTAACTGCAGAGGAAGACTCGACGTGTATTCCGTCTGTGTTAGGGCTCTCCCCATCCGCTGTAATCGTTACTCCTTGAATCATAGCTGTGGTGGTTCCCACAATCGCCATATGAAACTTTTGACTGTTAAGCAAGGTTATTCCCTCAATTTCCACATCTTTGGAGTTGAGGATAGACAATGACTGAAAAGTATTAATGTTAAACATAGAATTAATTAAACAGTTTTTTCGAAGCCTTTCCGATATAATTTATTGATGCATATTTTTGAAAAGTTATTCAAAGTCTAGTCTAGTTAATGCACAACAAAGTTTAACTTTTTTTTAAGGATACCAATGTTTAAAATATGGTAATTTATAACTAAATTTGATTCAACAGCAAAGTGACATTATTTGGGAATCTGCATTTCATCAATACTGAGATTTTCTTTTTAGAAAAAAAACCAAAGTTAAGTTTAAAAGGCATTTAAATAAATTATTTAAAAACACTGCGCTCTCTATATATATACAACACAATGTTTTTCAGTTCACATGTGATTGACTTTACGATTGAATTTTTATCTGAAATTTGATGGACATAAACTAGACGTGATAAAGAACACGTTCAGAAAAGGGGAAATTACCCTAAATAGGACTAAACATGTTTCTATATTCCAATATAGGACCATCATGTTTTTATTGCAAAAATAAGACTAATTACTGTTATGTTTTGACAGTATCCGACTTTAAATATGACACTATTTTTCAAACTCGGCAGTAAGTACTCCTATTTTGGAAATAAAAAAACATGAAATTCCTAGTTTAGAGTTTTCAAACTTTTTTATTCCTATTTCGGGAACTTTCTCTCCAAAAAATTCATCAAAATATTCCGGCGAGAAGGCCCCAAATTGCTTTGGCCGGACGACGTGTACCGATATGAACTGCCTTCCTACAATATATACTTAGCACTTACCGTAGCTCCTTCAGGGCAGTGATCTCCACCACCTGACTTTTTGCAAGCCCAGAGAGACTCGCCATTGGCGTCTAGGATTCCGGTGCCATTAATGGAAACGCTGTTGACATCTTGGAAGGTGATCCACGCATCGCAGCTTCCCATGACAGTATAGTCGGGAGCCTGATGTTTACCGTTGATTTGGAATGTGATGCGGTCTTTGTTTGTGCACGCAGCGCCTTTGAACGTAACGCTGCCGTGGCTGAGCATTCCCTCCTCCACGGAGATGATCTTCTCACCACTCGAGTCGCACGCCTCATACCATTTACTTTCGAGGTCGTCCGGTGAGCCACTCGGCTCAGAGGCGGTGTGTTCAGCCATTGTTGTACCCGCTAACAAAAGCAAGGTCATAACTGGCCTGAAAAGGTACAAACGTCGCGCCATTTTTGAAAGAAAAGTATTGAATTACTATATACGCCGCAGTACTAATCAGCTACGTATGTTATTAGTCATATGGAGTTGGATAAATGAATGAATCCATTAAAATGGTGCTTATATAGGCCTGAAGGCCGGAATGGTCTATCTAAGGTTAATTTAATTAGTCAAGGTAATTGGTACTTTTTCGTATTATTAGTCCTTGGAGTAATTATGCTATGCTGAAGTTTTAACCTCACAAATCTAGACAATAATGATTATGTTATTTGCCTTTAGTTTTTAGGTCTTCTTCAGATCAATTCATCAATTCTAGGTACGTACCTGAGTCTAAGAAATTAATTAAACGTAAATGTATTGTATGTATATTGTTATTTAAAAAAAAAAACTTGTTATTTTGACGACCCAATCGACCAGGCACCGGACCTCACAATTTTGTGTGTGGGTAAAATGAACGGATGTTAATGTTGTGTCCTTGATTAATTATAAGTACATAACAATACGTGAATGCTATGCTTCTCATAAGTTATTGGAATGAACGTATTCAAGGTTACGTTTTTTAGAAGAGGTATTTAATTAATTTAAAAAACAACATTTTTTTCATATGACAATACATCTGACGTATGTAAAATATATGGAGTATTTATCAAAAGTCAAAACAAAACTAAAACTATACTCCGTATAGTACTACGCCTTATGGTCTTATGGACTAATAAGATATTCTGATTAGAAAAATAATGTAAATAAACATAAAATACTTATGATGGTTGAGATCATAATCCATACACACCTTTTGTCATTTTTAGTTAATCACCTTTGAATCTTTGGTTTAGTCAATGATGGTACTTAAGTCGTTGTGTCTCATATTAAATTCACCACTAAACACTGATATTATATTATAGTATAGCGTAATAGAGTTCGTATAATTGATTTCACTAAATCGATTGAATGCTACTATTAAAATCATCAGAAGGATAACTTGAAATATGAGGTTTAAATATTGTGACCATTTAGAAACTAAAACAAATAAAACACTAAATGATCGAATGAATTAAAATATTAAAGGTAACAAGCATTAAAATATTAAAGGTAAGAAGCATTACTTAGTGATTTGAATTTCTAGTTGATCAACAATGATGCTAAACTTTGATTTATAATTTATTTATATCGGGAATATTTATAATATGAAAATGATATCAAAATGTTCTTCATTTCTTAAAAGTACTAGCTAACTAGCGGTGGCGGATCTTGCCAACCAATGTTGGGTGTTCAAAACTATTTTACCATTAAAATGTTGTAAAGTAATATTGTTTGATCCAACAATTGATTTTTTTTTCAACAACACCCTTGAACAAAGACCATCCGCCACTGTCTACTAGTATCATAAAAAGTATGAAATTTATGAGTATACCAAAAATATATTAGTTAAATGATTAATCAAAATTTATAACCATTGATTAGAAAAGTCAAAGATGATATTTAAAAAAGTAAGAAATAGTAACTTTTTATGTCTATAATTCAATAGAGTATAATATAGAGTATATTTCTTTATTCTTTTTTCTTTTTCAATTGTAACATTTCTTTTTTCACGTTTGTCAATGCACAACTTTAATCATCATAATATATTTCATTCCATGTAAATAAAAACTCAAAAAAAAACCAATTTTAAAAATTATAATAAGAAAGTTTTAAAAAAAATTAAAATTTTAAATTTCCAATACAATCAAAAACATTTTTTGAAAGTATAATATGTGAATAGTGTAAAATTCAGCCTATTATAATTATTTAAGGATGGTGTATTATACTACCTCCCTCTGTCCCGAATCGTTTTGCAAAGTCAACATTTTTTTTGTCAAACAATGTTAAAGTTAAATCCCCTATTGATACTTATTAATTCAATTTTAATAATTTAAATTTACATATTAACAAACTACACTAATATATCTATAAAATTGCAAAGTCGAAATGAAAAATTAATTAAGAATTGACATTATATCCTAATTAAATGAATAAAATGAAATTGTTTAACTAAAAAAGTCAAATTTGCAACTCAATTTGGAATGGAGGAAGTATATGAAAAAGTAGTGGGCGTTGCTAGAGTGCCAAATGGCCGCTCCTTACCCACTCCAATCGTTTTTGGATGATTACCCACTCCATATTTGATTATATATACCTTTTTTTTGTGCAAAGAAAGTATATACTCTCTTTGTCTCGTTAAGATTGTCTCACTTTTGCTTTTGGGTCCGTCCCAAAAAAATTGTCTCATATTAAATATATTTAGTACAATTTGTGTGGTTATAAAGCATTCGTACTATATATATATATATATATATATTCTTACTTCATCAATTCATTATCATTCACATATATAAACTCACTTTTCTTTATAACCGCACCACCTCCTAATGGTGTAATGTTAGTGAGATGGAGGTAGTACAAAATTACGAAGTACTTCAAACACGTTCACATTCATCCACTAATTTTTCTGACTACTAATGAGACTCTCAAGACAATATTCAAAAAAATTGCCAAAGATAAGTAAAAAGATTTGTTTGAGAATTTTAAAATAAGACCGTCATGCATGTTTTTATATTCTAAATATGGGTAATTATAGTCAAACTTGGAACGTACTGCCATGCCTAAAGACTAGTATTGCCCAAACATGACAAAATAACTTCTATTTAGGGAATAAAAACGTGAGTCCTATTTGAAATTACAAATATTTTAACTCCTATTTAGAGCAATATTGCTTTACATTTTCATGAAACACTTAAATTTTAGTATTCAAAAATCATTCTTTTTTGCATAACATCAAATTTTATAATTAATCGCTTTCCACGTAATCTCTAAAATAATCAACTATCAATTTTCCCTTGACTAATTAATTGTAGCAACTTTGTTATTTTATACTACGTATTTGAGAGAATGGACGTAATAGTAGGTTTCCCTCCAAAATAACAGCTTTGCTACTTTAAACAAATCACATGTGCCGGATGGTGTCATTAGTTAATCCAGATGCGTTCGATTTTTTTTTGGGAAATTGCTTAAAATAGGATAGAAATGTTTTGGAATTCCAAAATAGGATTACATATAAATATATTTTTATTTGCGAAATATGAGTAATTATTGTCATGTTTTGACAATATCAAACTTTAAACATGAATGTGTTTTGAAAACATGACAATATTTTCCAAACTTGGCAGTAATTACTCATATTTAAAGAATAAAAACATAACTGTCATATTTTAAAATTCCAAAATATTTTTACTCCTATTTTGGAAATTTTCCCAACTTTTATGCAGACCTAGTTATATCGAATCCTCCACGCACGACCAATTGCTACACTGTGGGAGCAGCCCACGGCGAGCATGCTGCTTCCACAGACAAAAATGCGGGTTACTGTTCACGCGCGTGAACAATAACTTTTGTTTTTTGTGTTTTTCACGGTCCAGTAGCAGAATGATGTAACACGCGACGCGTATAAAGAAATGTAACTCACACTGATACGAAATGTAACTTCAGGTTAGTCAAAATGTAACTTGTCTATACAGATTATAAGAAATAAAACATTGATTTCAATGAAAACAAAGAGTCTAATTGCTCAATTACTTTATGTAAATAGTAGATAATGCTTTGTTTTTAATATTAAGGCCATAAATAATGTTTTTTTCTACAATCCATTTTTTTCCCAAAAAAAATCATTTTTTGATCATTAGTAGGGGTTTATTTAGTGATGTAACTCACGCACAAACAGAGGTAACTCGCGCATAAGAACATGTAACTTCATATAATATCAAATGCATGTAAACATTGAAAATAATGAGTTTAATA